GTAAGCAACAAATGTCAGACATCACATGCAGCAGAATTTTCACTGATACAATGCCTAAGGCATGAGAAACAAATGCAAAAAATCAATACATGGGACTCTATCAAACTAAAAAGCTTCTGCACAGCAAGAGAAACAAGCGTCATAATGGAAAGGGAACCCACTATATGGGACAGCATAATTGCCAATGATACATCAGATAAGGAGTTAAGTTCCAAAATATATAGAGTACTCATATAACTCAAGAAAAGGAAGACAAAGAACCCAAGTAACAAATGGACAGAGGACCTATTTAATAGACAGTTCTCCAAACAGGACATATAAATGGCCAAGAGACATATGAAAAAATGCTCAATGTCACTAATCTTCAGAGAGATACAAATTAAAATGACTATGAGGTATCACCTCACACCTGCCAGAATGGCTGCCATCAACCAATTATCAAACAAGTGCTGGCAAGGGTGTGGAGAAAAGGAGACTCTAGTAGTACATGCTGGTGGGAATGCAGACTGGTGCAGTCACCATGGAAAACAATATGGTGTTTCCTCAAAAAATTAGTAACTGAACTGCCATTTGACCCAGTGATCCCACTTCTACGAATATATCCTAAGAAGCCTGAAACACCAATCAGAAAAAATATGTGTACCCCTATGTTCATAGCAGCACTATTTATAACCGCTAAGATCTGGAAACAGCCCAAGGGTCCACCAATAGATAAGTGGATAAAAACACTGTGGTACACATACACAATGGAATACTATGTAGCTGTAAGAAAGATCTCTTATCCTTTGAGATGACATGAAAGGACCTGGAGAGTATTATGCTAAGCAAAATAAGACAGAGAAAGACAATTAGCACAAGATCTCACTTATTTGTGGAATATAATGAACAAAATAAGCTGATAAACACAATAGATCCAGAGACACAGAAGTAGGGTACAGACTGACAAACCTCAAAAGAGGGGAACCGGGGGGAGGGAAAAGATACACCACAGAACTTATGTGCATGTATGCGTAATCAATGGACATAACAATGTGCGGGGTGGGGAGGTGGGTGTGGGATCGGGAGGAAGGTGTCAAGGGTGGAAAAAGGAGAAATACCTGTAACAAAAATAAATTTTAAAAAATCAATTAATTTTTAAAAAAGAAAAGGATAAGACAAAAGATATAATTTGGGGGAAGCCTTCATAAATGATAATTAAGGTGTCACAGACTATCCACTATAGGGCTTATCTTTTCCAGTCTTATATGCACTTCTAAGAGTTCAAAATGGGACATTCTGTCCGGCCGGTGCGGCTCAGCGGTTGAGCGTCAACCCATGTACCAAGAGGTCATCGGTTTGATTCCTGGTCAGGACACATGCCCAGGTTCTGGGCCCGATCCCCAGTGGGGGGCCATGCAGGAGGTGGCCAATCCATGTTCTCTCTCATTGATGTTTCTCTCTCTCCCTCTTCCCACTTCATCTCTCTCTAAAATCAATAAAGGAAAAAAATTTTTTTAAAAAAAGGCGGGCTATTCTGACCCCTACTAGTGTATTCTAAAGTGGTACATGGGCAATTGAGATCAGTTTCCTTTAAAGAACTTTGTCTCTTCCTGCCCCCCACTGCACCTCTATGCTGTACTGTCTAAGAACACATCACTCTTTAGGGGGAGGCTAATAATAGCAAAGTAAGGAAACAGGGGTAAGAAGTATCTAATGCTAAAACTAGCTTGTTTCAAGTATTTAAATATAAGAAATTTTCTTCAGCAATTCTCAAAACTCATTCCTTGAATATTTATTAGCTTGAAGAAAGAGCACATTTAAAGAGATTAAATAGTTTTAATTAAAGAGGCTGATTCCTTCACATATAACAGAAATATTTTTCAAGACTACCAAATTGTTCAAATTATGCTCCATAAAACCCAGACAAAAATTGTACACAAACTATTTTAGATTAAGTGCAAATGAGTCATTGTGGTAGTTAAAACCTATTTTGTCAAATCACATCATGAAATTTTTATTCTAATTAGTCAATTCTCATTACATCTTTTAAACAGTTTAATATTCCTATACCTTCTATTACAAAAGTCATAACTACAAGACCAATTTATTTTTTAAATGTTTTTATTGATTTTTTGGGGGGGGGGGGGAGAGGGAGGGAGAGGGGGAGGGAGAGGGATTAAGCCCACAACTGGGGCATGTGCCCTGACTGGGAATCAAACCAGCAACCTATCAGTGCATTAATTACCCCATTAAAGGAGTTATTTCTAAATCATTCCCTTTTATTTATACCTAAAAGCTGAATCAGAAGATGCAGGCATATACATTTAGAAAAGAACACACCTTTTTACACATTCCTCACTTCATAAATATTTTATTATGTAATTTATAATGATGCAATGTAACAAGATAAAAGCATTTTATGAAAAAAGTTACTTTGGCAAAGGTGCATCTAAATTATTATTTTCTCAACCACTTCTGAGTGTGTCAGATGAGAGGTATACAGGGGAAGAGGGGGAAATGATATTAATTAGACACTTGCTAAGTCTTGGTAAAACCTTTTTGATGTACTTCCTAGAAACTAAAAAAGTCAACTATTAGGGACCTGGTAACAAGTTAGGCAGTTCACATTATTTTGCTTTCAACAAAACTGAAGAAGGTACTTGTAAAACTGTCAACTGATGGATGCTTGATGACTAAGTGATTTTTGGGCATGTAACTTGGAGGATTTTGCTATCACAAAACTTCCATTAGAATAAAATTATTTATATGACCATTTATTTCTCAGCACTTAAACCTACAAAATCTAAAAATAACAGCAGACATTGATGCCAAATTCTATTTCATTCTATCAATAATTAATATATATCTCCAGATATAAGAACCACTGGAGGAAGAAGACAGCTTCATTTCATTTTAAAAATGAATTCTTTCCAATAATTATTACAAAGTAAATTTTAATCAAAATTTTCATATGTGTAGGTTATTCTAATCAACTGTGTGCTAATAATTGTAATAACTCAAACCAAGGTTGTTGTTTTTTTAAGATACGTGAAACTTTTTTTTTTTAATTGATGTTTTAGAGAGAGAGAAACATCGATGTGAGAGAAAAACATCCATCTGCTGCCTCCCACATGCCCCCTACTGGGGATCAAGCCTGCAACCCCAGCGTGTGCACTGACCGAGAATTGAACTGGGACCTCTCAGTCCATAGGACAAGACTCAATCCACTGATCCACATCAGCTGGGCAAACCAAGGTATTTTTAAATACTTAGAGCATTACAGTCACTGGAAAAACATTTCATATATATATTTGTGGCAAATAAAAGATTTGGTAGATGGTCAATAAAAGATTTTCAGAAACAAAAATACATGACATTAGCATACAGTATAGGAGAAGTAATAGAATGGACAAGCTAGTTCAAAGGGAAATAATTAAATTTCCAATCACTGAACTTTATTTTGTAATTAATAATGGCATTAAATTCCCTTAAATTTAAAAGAATGATGTATTTTATTACAGTATTACAATATGCCAAAAATTCTATCCTTGGTCAGTTCTGCTGAAAAATGTAGTTGTCAATTTAAATATGTGCAAAGGAATATACAATTTTTGAAAATTCTTTCAGGGGACATTTGAGTAATAATCTGAACAATGTCCTAGATAAACAGTTACAATAAGGGTCATGTATGTAAGTGAAAACTATTAGCAGACTAGCAAAAACATGTCATTTAAATGTCAGTCTCCCTCAAAAGACTGATAGCCACAAGGGCATACTTTTTTTTTCTGGGTATTCCCACTTTTAGTGCTACAAATAGCATAGAGTGGGTTGTTGTTGTTTTTTTATAAACTCTTAATATATTTTTCTTTATTGATTTTTAGAGAGAAAGGGAGAGGGAGAGACAGAACATCAACTGGCAGCCTCCTGCATGCCCCCCACTGGGAATCGGGCCCACAACCTGGGCATGTGCCCTAACTGGGAATCAAACCGGAGACCTCTTAGGGCATGGGTCGACGCTCAACCACTAAGCCACACCGGCTGGGCTATATAGTGGGTTTTTGTTTTGTTTTGTTTTTTTTTTATCCTCACCCGAGGATATTTTTTCCATTTTTTGTTCAGATAGAGTGGGAGGGAAAGAGAGGAAGGGAGAAAGAGAGAAACATCGACGTGAAGGGACACATCGAGTGGCTGCCACCCGCACGACCAACCAGGGCCGGGGACAAACTGCAACCGAGGTACGTGCCCTTAGCAGGAACCGAACCCGGGTCTCTCCGGATCGCAGGCCGACGCTCTAACCGCTGAGCCAAACTGGCCAGGGCTATATAGTGGGTTTTAAGAATTGTTTATCACATGGGGTAAAGAATGGATGAAATTAGTGAATGGTGAATATATAAGTGTCAAAGTATAGTATTTGATAATAGGAAATTATAAACCACAGATTTCTACTATAAATTAAATATAAACCATAGAACTGAGACATAGCCACACACTGAGACTTTTCAAAATATATTTTTATTGATTTTTAGAGACAGAGGAAGGGGGAGGGAGAGAGAAAGAAAAACATGGATGTGAGAAAGAAACGCAAGATTGGCTGCCTCACCCCCTACTGGGGATGAAGCCTGCAACCTGGGCATGTGCCCTGCCAGGAAACTGAACCAGCAACCTGTTGATGCAAGGGAGGATGCTCAACCAACTAAGCCACATCAGCCAGAGCCAGACCCTAAGACTCTTAAGTTATGAAAGTCTTAGCATAAAATCTTTATTTATACTGTAAGAAACAGATAGCTGAAATTTTAAATAATTACAAATACAAAACTTCTTTGACTCTTTACAAGAGATATAACTATTAACTAAATGTTACAGTTTTATTGAGGTATAATAGATATATAATAAACTACATATATTGAAATACACAATTTTATAAAATGTGTCTTGTATATAAAAATTTTTCTGAAAATCCCAATCCCCTTTTCCTGCCAAAAAGTTAAATAGGATTTTTGTTATCTGAGAAAAATACTTACCTTCATATAATTCACAATCTTAGCAAGAACGCCAAACTTATATCCAGAGCTTCCTGATAGAGCTTTCAAGTTAAATGATCCATTGCTGTGATCTGAAAATAAAGTTAAAAAAATAATAACATTTTTCTATTAGATGGGATTATGTCTTATAAGCAGCTGAGTTTTTTGTTTTTGTTTTGCTTTGTTTTTTTACAGCTAAGATGATTTTCATTCTGGTAAAGAATTTTCTTGTTTGAGATTTCATACCCAGTGAATTCTATCTTGTAAAACTTCATAAAAAAAAATTCAAAATCTTTGTATATACAATATACAATAACCTATCCATTATCTCACTAAGAATGGGAACAAAGTACATAATTCAAAACATTAAAATACATTTCTTTTATAAGTACCCTTATCTCATTCTTTCCTTAATTCTGATTAGATTTCCCCCATAATTAGAAGTAAGGCTTTTATAACAAAAACATTATACAAATCTCAATCTGATCCATAGTACTTTTCTCACAAACTTAAAAACATGAGGAGTGGATTACTATGAGGAATAAAAAGTTCAATTTATCACTTATTACACATCAATTTCTCCATATCAAGTTAACAAATGTGCATTAATTAACAGAATATAAAGAATGGTAACATAACTCTTTTAAAGTAAACTTTAGAGATAAATTAGGAATAAAAAATGAAGGTACTGCCGCTGCATAAACATGAATGCATAGAAAGAACAATAGCTTGAAACAAGGGACAATCTGTAGGGATAATTGTGTTTCAGAACATCTATCATTTTGTTGCATTCTTACAGGCACAAATCCTAACACTACCCTGCATCACAAATGTATTCCATTAGTCACAGGCAAGAACCGGTAAAAAAATTTCATCATAAATACTAGAAAAACATCTCAGAAGTACACAATCTATTAGCCTGACATCAGATCAGAAATTATTAAATTCCCTTGAGACTGACACAAGAGGAGAGGTTAAATAAAATGGGGGAAAGTCAATGTCTGGCACCAGTTTGGTAATAATAATTTAAGCAAAAGAATGCATTAGAACCACCACAAGTCAAATGTAACAATTGTCAGAGATCCAAAAGAACAGCTTCTAGATGGCAATACTCCTGAGATCAGTGAGTGAAAAGGCTTTATTCAATATGCTTTCTTGAGACTAAAATGAGACTTCATATGCAATTTTCCTCTAAAAATAACTGTTACAATTTTGATAGCTTACTTGAAACATTAGTCCACTTTACTGTTTCCCAAAATAACAATATTAAGAATAAGAATGCCAGCCCTGGCTGGTGTGGTTCATTGGTTAGAGCGAGCGTTGGCCCACACTTCTGAAGGGTCATGGGTTGGATTTTCAGTCAAGGGCACATAACTGGGTTGCAGGTTCCAACCCCAGCCCTGGTTGGGTTGTGCAGGAGGCAACCAATTGATGTGTCTCTCTCACATGGATGTTTCTCCCCCACCCTACACTCTCTCTAAAAAAAAAAATCAATGGAAAAAAATATCCTCAAGTGAGGATTAACAAAAAACTAACTACAAAAGATAAGAATGCCATAGAGCTGTACTTTTTCAATTATGAAATACTACCTACCTACATGGTTCATTTTTTAAAATGTTCAGGACCCTTGTAAGAATAATAGGAACTAACCTTTACTAAACACTTACTATTTGCCAAAGGCCATGCTAAATGATTTTTCTCATTTAATCCCTCCCAAAAATCCTATTTAAGAGATATTATTGTCCACTTTTAAACATAAGAAAAACAGAGTAGTAATTCAAATTACGGCAGAGTACAGATTCAAACCCAGTTGTAAACCCTGTGATAATGCCTAGGATAAGAATCATTAACTAGCCTTTAACACAGTTATGCCATCTGAAACAGGCTATTTTGTCAGAGTATAGAAATTCATAAATGCACATCTAGTGTTTTCTTGTTTAACTTTGGTGAAATGACATTAAGCTTAACCTGTATAAACAACTAACTAGGAAGACAAAAAACAAATGATCGATCATGATCCACATATAGTTTTGTTTACCATGGAGTCTCCAGCATTTAACTCAATACCAGGCATAGTAAACACTCAACAAATGTTAAATGAATGAAAGGATGGAGGAGGGGAATGAGAACGAACAATATTTCCACGTACGCTTGTAGGGCTCCAGAATGTGCTGATTTATCTATAATTAAAATAAGTCTATACAGCAAGCATTAACACAACCTACTATTGTTATAATAGCCAATCCCATAATTAAACACTTTGATTCTGCCCTGGCCAGTTTGGCTCAGCGGTTAGAGCATTAGCCTGCGGTTTGGAGAGATCCAGGTTCGGTTCCTGCTAGGGGCTTGTATCTCGGTTGCAGTTTGTCCCCGGCCCTGGTTGGGTCGTGTGGGTGGGTGGCAGCCACTCAATGTGTCCCTTTCACATCAATGTTTCTCTCTCTCTCTCCGTCCCACTCTATCTGAACAAAATATCGAAAAATGTCCTCGGGTGAGGATTAAAAAAACAAACAAACAACAAAAAAAACTTGATTCTGTTATGCTTAGACTACAACTTTAAATAATACACTATAATAAAAACATTCTACTTCAAACATCCAACTGAGGATTCTTTTGCCATTTAAATTTCACAGACTGTCCTGGCCATGACTCAGATGGTTAGAGCATCATCCTATACACCAGAAGGTGACAGGTTTAACTTCTGATCAGGGCACTCACCCAGATTTCAGGTTTGATCCCTGATCCAGGCAGGTACAGGAGGCAACCGATTGTTTCTCCCTCACATCGATGTCTGTCTCTCTCTCTCTCTCTCAATTTCAACACACACACACACACACACCCTTAGGTAAGGATTACAAAAATAAAATAGATTTCGCAGACTGCTGCTTTTTAATGTAGCTAGTGTACCTATCCTCTGCAAACTAGTAAAGCCAAAAACATTATTTCTCTCTTTTTCCTCAGAATTTCTCCTGTAAAATAACCACCACATGAAAATAATAAAACACAGTACTAAAAGAAGAGAAAAAATATATATAATTTTTAAAAATATTATGCATACTTCCTGGAGGAAATATAAGCTGATAAACCTGGGCTGTTTGTGTCCTAGGTTACTACCTCTCTCGACATTATCTTCTAGCCCTATCACCGAAATTTTCACTGAAGGATCTGAAATTTCATAGTTAAAACACTGAGGAAACATCAATTTGTTCCTATCTCACAAATTCCTATGTAGGAATTTAGCTGAAGGACAAAAAGGCACTAAAAAGAGGTGACAATTGATATCCCAGATAGCTTTATTCAAGTTTATGAATGATTTACTCTTAAGGGTGGCAGGACTTAATGCAAATGAATGTAGAAGAAACTGTCAGCTGCACTGTGCTTCAACCAATAGAAGCACAGCTCCATCTTGGCTGTGCACTAGACTGCATTACAAACAGACGATACCATCGCTTCAACAGCAGCCTTTCAGACAAGAGGTAGGTTTATATCTTTTTCATTTAGTAATACATGTCCTTACGATGCAATATAAAAATACTTTACCATAAAAATCAAACAGAATGCTTTGTTCCTACTAAAGACCAAAACAAGCAATGTATTCATTTCACTGCTTGGCTGGATTTTATTATGAAAATATGAAGACTGCCTGTGCTATGTGATAAGCACCCTTACCATCTGTGCCTTAATGGAAAATTCATGACATTGTCTTTAACCGGATCTATATCTAGACCTGAGAGTAAACCATAAGCATTTGATTTTAAGTGGTTACTTGCTAATTTCATTTTCTCTGAGCTATTTCATTTCAGCAGTTTGGTCTGTCTTAAACAAAGGATTTTTCTTAAAGAAAAATCTAGACTAAAAGTGAATCCTGAACTAAAGCTTTCTGATTATATATGTACAAATTATACTGGCTGGTAAAAAGCAGTTGCTTACAAGAAAGTTTGTTATATTTTAACAAATATCAGAAGAGAGTTCAAAATTGTTTTCTATATGACTTTGTAGATTCAGAGAATGCTGAAAAATTATCACAATTGTGATTTTTATATAAAAATAAAAACACCATAAAGGTACCATTATGTAGGCTGCATTATACTGTAACCAAAGACATCATTTAGAGAGCTTCAGTCTTTTCTAACATTTTAATTTAATTCCTTAAGTAAAATCTTAAAGTCTATATTACTGTAATATACAAGTCATGCTATTATTAAATGAAAACCTTTTTTGAAATAGCCTTTCATTTTTGTATATGCTACAGAAATACATATTTATCACAGTAATTTTAATATGTTCAAGTTATTCTTAAATTGATCCTCAAAATAAATACGTAGTAAGTCTTAACTACATTTAAAAATAAAAATATGTCCTAAGAATTGGTTAAGGGAGGACAGTAGAGTACCTTTCAAGGTAATAAGATTACTTTCATGGCTCAGATTAACCATTCATATCTAAAAAATCAGTAGCAACTGCTGACCAAATTTATAATGTTATAATACTAAAGCATAGAAATATAATTTAGTAGATATTAGAGTTCAAATATATTACCTATACACACTGACTTAAAGATCCAACTTCTGCCCTTTTCTTTGCTGGTAAATCTATTTAAATTTTAAAGGTCATTTTCTCCATAATTTTTATTCCTTTTATTTCTTAGCCAGCATACAGCTAATATGACTAAAGCATCCCTTACAAAGACCAAACCTTGCTGCTGTAAGAAGATATTAGATCTTTCCAGGTTCAGCACAATTGGGTTAGTTACTTAGAAAACATTCCTATTTACCATACAAAGTATGGGTGCCCCAAAAGTCTCATAAAAAAAAATAACTTTGCCAAATAGAAGAGTTAATTCATAACTCAAATTTCAGGTAAACTGTAAATTGAAACACCCTACCACCTACATTAAAACTATAAACAGCCTACATTTTATTGGTAATACATCTATAGTTAGCACAGATGGAGGCTACTGCTGTTTCACTGAACTGACTAGAGGCATGGCCTATCTCAGAAAGATCCAGGGCTGTGTTGCTCTACATTTAAAGGTTACTATGATTAATTGATCATATTTAAAAGTGATATGTTTAAAGGCTCTAGAAAATTCAACTAAAGGGCTTTTACCACAAATATAGCAAAAGCATAATTTTATTCTGATCTGGCAATTCAAAGCTCCAAAACAGTTCCAAGACTTAGCCCTGTAAATATTTCACTAGGTCCTTTTGAAATGGGAGAAAAAATAGGTGAAGGGAACATTTCAAAAACAACAAACTAAAATAATATATGGTATTTACCTTAACACTTCCCATTGCTCTAAAGGGGTTAAGGGGGATGCAAAAAAGTGCAAACTGTTTTTTGTTTGTTTTTTACCATTTTCTCTTACTTTTCATAAGGCATGTTTACAGATTTGCTTGTTATAAATTTACATTTTAGTTTAAAAATTATAGTATCAGAATGCAAAACAATATTAATGGTAACTATATTTTTGCATGTCTAGTTATGTCTAATCCACCAAAGTAAATTTTAAGTTTTTACCCTAAATTTAACACAAAAAATTACTAGAGTTCCACTGTACTTTGAAAAAAATAAATCACATTAAATGTAAGGTGAAAAATGATTCCATATTACAAGGGTTTACTATTTTCAGCTATGCCCAGAAGCTAACTAGAAAGTGAATGTTTTGAGTTGCTCATCAGTTATCAATGCATTCTCACAAGAAGCACACTGTCATCACTTATAACATAAAACTGACATGCACATATCTTTCCTAAACTGCTTAGATGCTGCTAGCAAAGGTTATAAATGCCCTGGGAGATGGCATACACTGCTCTCCCGTCACTGCAAGCATTATGATAAGCATATTTGTGTGTGGATAAAGTATGCAGTCTAATCAAAATGATAGTGCTTGATAATCCTAATTTTACTTTTTTAGAATCCAGAAAACTCAATAAATGTAGTAAATAAACATATAACACAACAGACTTTTAAAATTCAAAAGCAAGAAATATTTTTAAAATATATTTGTTTGAGCTGAACAAACTGACAGCAATTTACAACAGATACAGAAGGTTGCCTCCTTAGAAATAACATCTGGGCCTCAGTTGTATTTCAGCCCCAGGCCCAGAAAAGCAGCACCAGGTGAGTGACACCAGGACCAGCTGCAATGACTAATAACCCCCTGCCCTGACACTGACCAATTAGTAGAGACCAAGACCCTGAAACAGCACACCTAGAAAACCGGTGACTATTCTGTTGAAATCCTCCCCTGAGACTTCCCCTAAGATTCCCACCTTCGAGAGAGAAATAAAACTCAAGAAAAGGACCCAGCTCATGCTTTCCATCCCAGGAGCACAGCCACACCTTCCCCAACCCTTTCCCACAGGCATGCCTCTCCTAAACTCTAAGGGACCCCACAAGGCTTGCAACCAGGGCAGCAATAGACAGTGGCAGTTCATCCCAGGCAAAACCCTTGAGCTTGTCCCCAAGGGCCCCTTTTGTCTGACTTCTTAGTGAAACAAAGCAGACCAACCTAGGCTCATTTTCCCAGGCCTTCTTTGTTTCATTGTCCCCAGCTTTAATAAATACCCTCTAAAATTCAAAACAAAATTATTTAATTAATTAAAATAAAATAAAATATCTTTGGGTTTTAAATAATAGATTCAAATGGTTCAAAAACTAAAAGAATGTAACAAGGTTATATTGAGAAATCTCACACACATCCCTGTCCCCAAATCTACTCTCCATCTAAGCCCACAAGTAACCACTATTAATTTTTTGAATATTCAAGATTTTTACACAGATACAAGCAAATAAAATATATTATTTCCCCTTTCCTATATATACTGTTCTGCACCTTGTTCTTTTCCCTTACAACATATCCTAAAAATCTTTCCATATCACCACTCAATTACCTCATTCATGTATAATATTGTGTGAATATTCTATATTAATTTTAAATAGAATAGTTCATCGATATTAACTTCAAATAATTAAATTTAGTTGTGCATCTGTCTGCCTGCCCCTACCTTATCCTCTCCCCTTCCACTCTTCCTCCATTTTTTTAGGGGTGAGGGGGGCCTAAAAAAATTTTAAGCAATGCACTTATACCTCAAAAATGAACAGCTATGGCTGGCCGCTATGGCTCACTGGCTGAGCATCGACCTGTGCACTAAGAGGTCGCTGGTTGGATTCCCGGTCAGGGCACATGCCCAGGTTGTGGGCCCAATCCCCAGTGGGGGGCATGCAGAAGGTGGCCAATTGATATTCTCTTTCATCGATGTTTCTAACTCTCCCTCCTTCTCCGTTCCTCTCTCTCTAAAAATCAATAAAGAAAAAAAAAATGAACAGCTATGAAGCTCCTTAAACCAACTTTCTAATCATTTTAAAATCTCATATGAAACAGTAACTTATATTAGCCTTTACAACTTCTCCCCAGTTTTAAAGTCAATACAAATAAAAAAAAAAAGGGCCTATTCATCATAAATTAAAATACAGGTAATAACTTCAGTATAATCTCAACCAGATATGAGTTATGGATTTTTATAGCCAATTTCTAGGAGAAAAGTAAAAGAATTAAAAGCTTCACATGTTAGGGAGATAAGATTCTGGGTAAAGCTTTTAATTTTTAAAATTGCTATGATGTTTCTGAAATCAATCATAAACTAACACTTTAAATTAACATTAAGTTAATTAATAAACTAGATTAAACTAATTTGAGGGGTATGTTGTGAAAATTGCTTCATTCTACTCTCTTCTCCCTATCAGTTTCCCCTGCAGTCACTTCTAATGCCAAATTTAGAAACAAAACTCTAAAAAAATAAAAATAAAAAATTCCATATTTTAAAAAGGAATCAACCTGAAAGGCCTTAACTGAAAGTCTAAGAAATATTTTCATTAATGCTGGAGACGTTCTAGGTTAGCCAAAGTAAAATTATTAGACAGACCCTCACTTAATTCTTCCTGCTCTTTACCTACCCACATAAGTGGCACTGTCCCCTTTCCCCAAGGTCCTACTCTTCTTCCTCTCTCGCTCTATTAGCGCTGCTTTTCAAAAAGGTCCTGAAACCCATTCACGCTGAAGTAAAAATACCTGTAACAAAGTATGTTACCCCTCCCAGGAATATCTGCATTTTAGTAGTGCTAAAATCTTAAAGGAGTTTCAAAGCTAAACTTTTCTTTAGAGGTGTATGGACACACACACACATATGATGGTATTAGGAAGGCTGGGTCAAAAAGGACTCAATTTTGTCTCTATTTGAGTCTGTCTCTGTGGGTTACTTGATTATTTGTGTGCATGATGATTAGAATCAGAGGCAGCAACAATGCAGAGGTTAGAGGGGTAGACTCTTAGGAAATCCACATCACATAACTCTATGTGAATGTCACCCCACAATACAGTATGAATGGTGCTCCTTGGAGTTGTGCAAAATAGCAGCCTTGCTTTCTATAAGAACATGCTCGGAAGAGAAAAATTCAAAGGATAAAAAAGGGCAGCTTTGAAAGGCTGGGTCCCCAGACACAGTTTGAAAATAATGCAATGAGATATAACATAGTATATGTTACAGACAATGTATTTTTGTATGTCCCAGAACTAATAGAAGCAATTGATTCAATTGTTGTCCATTAGTCTGTTACCCCTCGTTTCAAGATGAAGGGACCAAGCACCATAAAACTGAAGAATTCTAAAATCCAAAAAGAAAAAATGAACTGGCCTTTACTTCTGGCCTCAGATTACTGATTTAACCCTCAAAACACACGACAGAAGAAAGGAAGGAACCAAGTCCATCCAAGGGAAGTGAAGTGATTTGCCAAGCAAATCCGATTTAAGAAAAAAAACAAAAACCTTAGAAAGTATCAATTTATCAACCCCAAAGTTTTTAACTTCTATCTATAAAGAAAACAAAGAAATCTAAAGGAATTATATTGTTATGGCTTTAGATTTTAAGTCACTTTTTAATCTTTTTGATGTAAAAATATTGTGGTTATGTTTAAAACAGAGTCCTCACCTTTTAAGATACATTCAATATTTCTAGAAATAAAATGATGTCTGGGACTTGTGTCAAAATAATCATTGTAGCATTGGGTAGAGCTAGAGACTGATAAATGAAGCTGTATTATGAGAACATGGGGGTTTTCATCATTCATATATATATATTTTTTTTTCAAATTCTCATTCAAGGATATTTTTTTCCCATGTATCTGCAGACAGTGGGAGGAAGGGAGATTGGGGGGGTGGGGAGACAGAGACAGAGAGAAAGAGAGAGAATCAACGTGAGAGAGACACATTAAACGGTTGCCTCCCGCAGGGCCATGGCCAGGGACCAAATCGCAACCAAGGTACCTGCCCTTGACCGGGATCAAACCGACGACTATTGGGTCCGCGGGCTGATGCTCTAAATGGCGGCAAATCAGCCAAGGCTTGGTTATACTCTTATACTTCTGCACTACCTTGAAGTCTTCTTTAAATGAAACATAATCTCACACACAAATTATCCCCAGCACTTAAAGTATTTGGTACACAGTAGGTAATCAATAAACATTTGTTCACAAGAATAAATGAAAGTTGATTTACAATTACGTGGGGGAGCAAGCATGCTTAAAAAGTCATTTCTTTCATTTAAAACATACAAATAGACAACAGTCATTGAATTAAAGCGAAATATTTTTTTATTTCCAAAATTTTCTTAGCATATAGGTTATGTTCTAATTTTTTTTTACTTTATTCATTTAATTTATATAATTTATTCACTTATTCATATAACCATTCAGGGATAATTATTTTGTGATTATTCACTTTTTAGGGGTTCCCTCCTGAAGAAACCTGCTTCCATCAGGTCTGAAACGACCCCCTCCTTCCTTGATATCAGCCTCCATTGGCTTTCAGACCGTCTGGGGAGCTTCTAATACCCACGACATGCAGGCCACCTGTGACCCCCCCCCCCCGGGTGGTGGCACAGGTCCAGTGCACCCGACCCAGTGGCCCTGGGCTGGACCAGCTCGCCTTCGCCTCCCCACGCATAAAATGGGAGGCTCCAGCTGCTGTGCTGCTCCAGGTGCAGAGGGAGGGCTGGAGCTGCAAGGTGCCTCTGGAGCTGCAAGGTGCCTCCGGGCCTTATCACCTCCATGGGAGAACAGAGCCCAGCCTGGCCAGGGGGTGCGGAGGAGGGGGAGAGGGGCGGGGTGTCAGAGCCGCCCTGAACTAGGCTGGCACCACTGGGCACTGGCCCCCACCTCATGGCGGAGGACAGTATTTTCTAATTTTTAAAAATAAGCTTAAAAAGTTATTTTTAAAGACCAAAAATTCTTTTTTTTTTTTTTTTAATACTCTCAAATCTTCAACCCTTACGGTTCCATTTAAGGCCTACCAAGTATCAGGTCAACAAGAGCAAAAGTTAATGCAAAAATACTGAAACTTTAACTCGCTAATTTTGTGAAATGGAATAATAATTCAATAAATGATTACCTTTGGGGCACTGAATTTGCCTGTTTTAAATATTCATGTCTAGAGGTCACTTAGGTATATGGAAGTATTTATTTATTTATTTATTTATTTTTCTTTCAGATAGAGTGGGAGGGAGAGAGAGGAAGAGACAGAAAGAGAGAAACATCAACGTGAAAGGGACACATCGGGTGGCTGCCTCCCACACGACCCAACCAGGGCCAGGGACAAACTGCAACCAAGGTACATGCCCTTAGCGGAAACCGAACCCGGGTCTCTCTGGACCGCAGGCCAACGCTCTAACCACTGAGCCAAACTGGCCAGGGCTATGGAAATATTTAGACTCTCATATACACAACAAAAAATTCTAAGATTATGGTCTCTTCACAGGGAACTTAATTTGACTTTTCTTTCTGTTTTTCACTCAGCCACTATTCCCTGATTCAGGTCTCTGTCTTCGCAGTTTAAAGGAGTGGAAACAGGAGCTGAAAATACACTGAACCAAAAAGGTGAGAGGATCCACAAGGGCATTTTGAAGAACATAACCTTAAAATGTAAAGATTTCTTGTAGATAATAGCTCAATGGCCACTACTTTAGTCAAACTTTAAATCAATTAAGTTGAAACCAATTAAGTTGCCTTTTCCCCTTCCATGAGCAGTTAGTTTCTGTGTATGAATTTTAAACATACATATTTGTCTAGTAATATACACAAAATATATAGTATGGTTTACAGAATACATTGGCATATAGAAAAAAAATAATATCATTAAATGTGTTTTGCCTATATAAATTTACTAACAAATCTTACACTGAGATTTGAATTGATAAATATGTAGAGTTTGGTTACATATATTCATTTTCTACCTTTCTAGAGATTCAGAAGAGCAATACAAGAAGTAGAATCTGTAAGAATGGCCTCCTTGAGCTCCAGCCTCTGGAATGAAACCACTACATCTGTTTATCAGTACCTTGGGTTTCAAGTTCAAAAAATTTACCCTTTCCATGATAACTGGAACACTGCCTGCTTTGTTATTCTGCTTTTATTTATATTTACAGTGGTATCTTTAGTGGTGCTGGCTTTCCTTTATGAAGTGCTTGACTGCTGCTGCTGTGTAAAAAACAAAACTGTGAAAGACTTGAAAAGTGAACCTAACCCTCTTAGAAGTATGATGGACAACATCAGAAAACGTGAAACTGAAGTGGTCTAGCACTCTACATAAGATGAACCAAAATCTCTGAAAATAGCCTTCAACTTTGAGGAGAAAAAATTTTCAGAGGCCAACTGTTATTTACAAAATTGAAAGACTTTGAATGATTAAAAGATTTCTACTAGAAGGAAAAGACAAGTTAAATATGTACTTTTTGTGTGTATCCCTTTCATTAAATGTACAGTAAAACTTCATAAATGTGAATAATTTACCAATCTCTTTAAAATTACACTTAAACTAGATAAAGATGCCTAGCATTCAATATTAAGCAGCAAAAGATAAACTGGAAAACATAAGCAAGGCTAATGATGCCAAAATAATTTATACCAAGCCCTGGCCAGTTTGGCTCAGCAGTTAGAGCAAAGGACCGAGGACCAAAGAGTCTACGGTTCAATTCCAGTCAAGGGTGTGTACCTCGCTGCAGTTCAATCCCCAGCCCTGGTTGGGGTTGTGCGGGAGGCAACCAATCAATGTGCCTCTCTCACATCGATATTTCTTTCTCTTTGTCTTTCTCTCTCCCTCCCTCCCACTTTATCTGAAAATCAATGTAAAAATATCCTCAGGTGAGGATTAAAAAAATAACTTATACCTAAACAAATCATGTGGACTAAAAAACAGAGCAGTATGCCCTGGATGGTGTGGCTCACTTGCTTAGAGCATCACCTCATGCGCCAAAGGGTCACAGGTTTGATCCCTAATCAGGGCACATACTCAAGTTGGGTTCCATCCTCAGTCGGATGCATATGAGAGGCAACAAATCGATGTTTATCTCTCACATCAATGTTTCTCTCTCTCCCCCCCCCCCAAAAAAAACTCAATTAAAAAAAAAAAAGAGTACTATATCTACATGTGTTTTGGTAATAGAAATGCTATGTAAAATGCTTCTCTATCCCAGCAGGTGTGGCTCACTGGTTGAGTGTCAACCCATGCACCAATAGGTCACTAGTTTGATTCCCAGTCAGGGCACATGCCCAGGTTGTGGGCCCAGTCCCCCAGTGGGGGGCATGCTGGAGGCGGCCAATCGATATTCTCTCTTGTTGATGTTTCAATCTCTCTCCTCTCGCTCTAAAATCGATAGAAATAAAATATTTTTAAAAAATGCTTCTCTAAATCAAAAATAAAATACTTCCACTTATATTAAAGTCCCTACTTATTAAAAAGCGGTATTTTCTAGTTTACTGAAGACAACTTACACATTTTTAAAGACTTACGTTTTATGTAGGATTACCGTGACAAAAGTCTCAAAATACTCAGAAAGGTCACAAGTATACTTGCATACATTTTCGTAAAACTGACTAACTGTTGAGATACATGGTCTAAGAAGAGCCAGACTGTCTTCAAACTAAAACTTAATGGTACACCCCACTAAACTGCATTTCTTGAACTTGTGCTTTCTCACATTCACACTCTCAAGGGCTAAGATACCCAATATAGAAAAGACTATGGGAAAAAAAAAATTTAAAAGATAGGACCATTTAACACTTGTTAAGAGATATGGCAGTTTTATTTCTTGGAATTCCAAGGGCTGTACAGATATTATATTTTATAATCCTAATACTATCTTGCTACCACCCATGAGTAAACCAAAGCATGCTCTTTTTTTTTTCCTTGATTTTTAGAGAGAGAGAAGGGAGAGGGAGAGAGAGATAAAAACATCGATGAGAGAGAACATCGACTGGGCACTTTCTGCATGCCCCCCCACTGGGAATCAGGCCCACAACCTGGGCATGTGTACTGACCAGGAATCAAACTGGCGACCTCTTGGTGCATGCATGGGTCGACACTCAAACCACTAAGCCACACTGGCTTGGCCCAAAGCATGCTCTTAACCACTACACTACAACTGCCCTTAAGTCAGAAATGCTGCTCCTGAACATGTACTGAGAAATTAGTTCAGAAGAAAAAAAAACTCAAGATACAAAGATGTTCACTCTCACTACTTCTATTCAACATCATACTAGCCAGTCTAGACAGACGAGGAAAAAAAATAAAAGGACTTCATATTGGAAAGAATGAAATAAAACTCTTCATATTCACTGATAACACAATCTTGTAAATCTTATATGTAGAAAATGCTACAGAATCCACACAAAAACTAGAAATAATGAGTTCAAAGTTGCAGAATAAAAGATCAATGTAAAAAAAAGTATTTTATTTCCATATACCAGCAATGAACATTTTAAAAATCAGCCCAGCTGGTGTGGCTCAGTAGTTGAACATTGACCCATACACCAAGAGGTTGGATTCCTGGTCAGGGCACATGCCCAGGTTGTGGGCCCAATCCCTAGTGGGGCACATGCAGGAGGCGGCCAGTCCATGTTCTCTCTCATCAATGTTTCTATCTCTCTCTCACTCTCCCTTCCTCTCTAAAAAATCAATAAAGAAAAATGTTTAAAAATCAAATTAAGAAAACTATTTCATTCACAACAGTATCAAAAATACTTAGGAATAAATTTAACAAAATAAATGTAAGATATAAATAAAAACCTAATAAATGGAAAGATACCCATGTTCATCTACTGTAAGACTTAATAATACTGAGATAGCAATTCGCCCCAAATTGATGAACAGTTCAATACAATCCCTATCAAAATCCACCTCTGGCTCTTTTACAGATGTGAATTGATGAACTGATCCTAAAATTTATATGGAAATGCAAAGGGTCCAGATAAAAAGCAAAACAATTTTTAAAAAGAACAAAACTGAAGGACTTAAATTTCCCAATTTCAAAACTTTACTACAATACTACAATACTACAGTTACCAAGAGAGTATGGTACAGACACAGGACAGACATATAAGTCAACAAACCACACTGAGATACCAGAAATATGTAGTAAACTCATTTATAGTCAATAAGGGTGTCACCAATGCAAGTCAATGGGGAAGGTAGTCATTTCAACAAATGGTACAGGGACAAAACACAAAAAGATGAATTTAGATCCTTATGTTAAACAAAAAATCAACTCAAACTTACCGTAAACCTAACGTAAGAGTTAAAACTATAAAATTCTTACAAGAAAACACAGTAGCCCTGGCCGATGTGCCTCAGTTGAGTGAGCGTCGTCCTTCGCACTGAAAGGTTGCCAGCTGGATTCCCGGTCGGGGGACACTGCTTAGGTTACTAGGGTCTCAGGGTGCATACAAGAGGCAACCGATTGATCTTTCTCTCACATAGATGTTCCTCTCTCCTCCCTTCCTCTCTCTCTAAATATAATAAACACATTTTTTTTAAAAGAAAAATAAAAAATAAAGTATTAAAAAAATTAAGTAAAAAAATAAATAAGTAAACAGTAAATTTTCACGACCTTGGGTTAAGCAAAGATTTCTTGGATATGACATCAAAAGCACAAATGATATTGACTCAAGAAACTATATCCAGAATATATAAAGAATTACGAATCAATAGTAAGAAGACAACCCAATCACTTTTCAAGTGGGCAAAAATATGAACAGACATTTCACCAAAGAAGACAACTGAACAGTCAATAAGCACATGAAATGGCATCCAACAACATTAATCATTAAAGAACTGCATATCAAAACCAAAATACCACTTTACATCCACTGGAATGGCTATAATCAGAAAGACAGAATAACAAGTCTTGGCAAGAATAAGATAAAAATGGAATCCTCATGCATTGATGGTGAGAATGTAAAATGGTACAACCATTTTGGTAGTTTCTTTAAAAAGTTAAACATAGCCCTGGCCGGTTTGGCTCAGCGGTTAGAGCGTCAGCCTGCGGTCCTGAGAGACCCGGGTTCGGTTCCCGCTAAGGGCATGTACCTCGGTTGCAGTTTGTCCCTGGCCCTGGTTGGTTGTGCGGGTGGCAGCCACTCGATGTGTCCCTTCACATCGATGTTTCTCTCTCTCTCTCTCTTCCTCTCTCTCCCTCCCACTCTATCTGAACAAAAAATGGAAAAATGTCCTCGGGTGAGGATAAAAAAAAAAGTTAAACATAAAGTTACCACATGACCCAGAAATTCTACTCTTAGGTTTCATTACAAGGAAAAAAAAAAATGTCCACAAAAAGACATACCTGAATGTTCACAGCAGCACTATTCATAATAACCAAAAAGAATACAATAACTGGTGAATGGATAAACAAATTGTAGTATATCCACACAAAGAAATGCTCTTCAGCAATAAAATGGAATGAAGTATTGATACATGCCACGACATGGAATCCTGGATAAAATACAGCAAACTGAATCCCACAACAAATAAAAAAGGATTATATACCATGACCAAATAGGATTTATTACAAGAATTCAAGGTTTAACATCTGAAAATTAATGGAATATACTGTTATTATTAAAGAACAAGAACATGATCATCTAATTAACAGATGCTAAATTAAAAATAAGGCAGACCTAAAGACCACATATATTGTCCAATTCCACTTATATGAAATGTCCAGAAAAAGCAAACACAGCGATAGAAAGTAGATTATTGGTTATCTGGGGCTGGGGTGAAAATAAGGAACAATTGAAAATGGGCACAAGGGATCTTTTGGGGAATATGGAAATGTTCTAAAATTGAATTGTGCTAATAGTTGCAAAACTCCGTAAATTTACTAAAAATCTTTTAACTGCCCTAGCCAGTTTGGCTCAGCGGTTAGAGTCAGCCCTCGGACCGAAGGGTCGTGGGTTCAATTCCCAGTCAAGGGCACGTAGCTGGGTTGCAGGTCCGATCCCCAGCCTGATCAGGGTCGTGCAAGAGGCAACCAATCAATGTGTCTCTCTGACATCTATGTTTCTCTCTCTCTCTTCCTCCCTCCCTTCCACTCTACCTAAAAAATATATATTTATTTTGCCCTGGCCAGTTTGGCTCAGCGGTTAGAGCGTCGGCCTGCGGTCCGGAGAGACCTGGGTTCGGTTCCCGCTAAGGGCACTACTTCGGTTGCAGTTTGTCCCCGGCCCTGGTTGGTCGTGCAGGTGGCAGCCACTCGATGTGTCCCTTCACGTCGATGTTTCTCTCTCTCTCCTTCCTCTCTCTCCCTCCCACTCTATCTGTACAAAAAATGGGAAAATGTCCTCGGGTGAGGATAAAAAAATATATATATATTTATATTTTAACTGTATACCTAAAAAAACAAATGATCTGTATGGGATGAAAAGTAAACTTCAATAACGTTATTTTTTAAAAGATAATAACCTAAAGCTAACTACACCAAACTTATTAACATTTTAAGAGCAAAAAATTCTCTCATCATTCCATCCTTTATACTTAAAGTGCCTAACAAGCAATATGAGTGTTGAACTGAAAATGAACTTGCCATTACTAAATGGTTTTCTGAAAAATAAAAATAGTTTTAGTCAATTTCACTAACCAGAATTTTGTTTAGAGCCTGATGATCCTCCATGTTCTAGCTTTGCTTTCTTCTTCTTCGATGATGATGATGCTGATGATTCAGAAGATACTGAACGTTTTTCTACTACAGGAGTGGAAAGAGCTCTTTTTTTGAAGAGCTCACGTTCTCTCAAAAGACTTGGATCCATAATGCTGCAAAGATTAAAATAAGTATCCTTAATACCGAGTCCAGTCAGTCAAACCTATATGCTAAATCCGTCTCAACAAGTTACTTCTCAAACAAAATTACCTTGCTACTAGTTGTTTAGCACTTGTATTTACTCATTTACTCCTTCACTCAAAAAATCTTTAGTGCCTATTATGTGCCAACCACTGTGCTGGTACTCGTAAAGAGAAATAGAATTATTCTCTAAAGCTCTAGAATTGCACTGTCCAATATGGTAGCCACTGGACTCATGTGCCTATTGAGCACCTGAGAGATGCTAAAGTTGAGATGTACTCTAAGTGTAAAATACATATCAAACGTAAAAGACTTAGTACAAAGAAAAGAACTTATAAAATTACTATAAAAAAAAAACTTATGACATATTTTAGACTGATTATATATTGATGTGATCTTCTGGATATACTGGATTAAGTAAAATATTTAATTTCCCCTAATTTGTTAAAACATTTTTAGGCCCTGGCCAGTTTGGCTCAACAGTTAGAGCATTGGCCAGGGGACCAAAGAGTCATGGGTTCGATTCTGGCCAAGGGCATATACCGTGGTTGCAGTTTTTTCCCAGACCTGGTTGGTGTGTCTCTCCTCACATCAATGTTTCTCTCTCTCTCTCTCCCTCCCTCCCGTGCTCTCTCTCTCTCTCTCTCTCCCTTTCTTTCCTTCTTTATCTGAAGATAAATATAAAAGTATCCTCAGGTGAGGATTAAAAAATGAAATAAAACAGTCCAGCCGGTGTGGCTCAGTGGTTGAGCACTGACCCATGCACCAAGAGGGCTCTGGTTACATTCCCGGTCAGGGGACATGCCCAGGTTGTGGGCCCAATCCCCAGTGGGGGGAATGCAGGAGGCAGCCAATCTCTCTCATTGATATTTCTGTCTCTCTCTCCCGTCCCCTTCCTCTCTCTCTAAAATTAATAAAGAAAAAAATTAAAAAGAAAACATCACAGCTTAATTAAAATAAATAAAAATTTAAAAATCTGGTGAATTCTCTATCATTAAGTGATAAAAAGGCTGGATTGATATTTGTTAGAAATTACAGAAAATTCCTGATTTGTACGTTAAGTGAGGCTAAACCTCTTTGGGTTTTTTCCCAATTCTAAAACTCTACAATTCTAAACAACTTCAATACCAGAGAAGCCACAGGTCATTCAACAGTATTTTAAAATGTTCCTCTCTTGTCTGAGCTCTCCCTAAAATCCCAAGGAACCTGGGAAGCACACAGACTGACTATGTAAACTATATTTGCAGTGTTAAGATTAGTACTCATAAACTGGGAAGAAAGGCCCCAGAGGAAAAAAGACTATCTTATCCTTTGAAAGCCTTAAAGCACAGAGTAGCTCAATAAATATTTGTTAAATGAATAATGAACGGAAAAGCATCTTTAAATTGCTCTAGCCTCATTGTTATTGGTTTCACAAACCTTTACTAAATGTCCACTGTTTGTGAGGCACTGTACTCCAAGTATGAAAGGTTCTGGAAAATAAATTCTTGTCTTCAAGTAGCTTACATTTGAGAACCTGAAAGCATTGAGCCCCTCGCTTAACTATGAATAAATAAAATGTAACTTAGAGTGCTTAAAGTTAAAAATATAAGCACTGTTAAATAACCAGAGTAAACTTCACTTAACTAGGAAAGGAAGAGTCACTGGCACAGGATCACAAATCAAAGACCTACTTCTCTCCCCAATTCTAATCCCTAACGGCAACATGACCCTAGATCAACATGACTCTGCTAGATCTCTCTAAATCCAATTTTATCGTAAATTAAAATGAGACTACTACCAATGCTGTCTACATCTAGCCCAACTGTAAGAAAAAAACATAAGAAAGTGATTTTTTTAAAGAGTAAAGCTATACAAATATGTTATTTGGGTATTACTACTTTGAGTTGGATATTAAAAGAAATAATTATACTGTGATGAGGAAGAAACCATCTTGGGGAAGGAAACAGAGAACAGAAAGGAGAAGTCACAAGTGATAAGGTGGGGGCAACAAGCCTAAAACAGGAAACATGTTTGTTTCACCTTGTAAAGAAAGGTAATTAACTCAGGCTTTGAATCATGAGCTTAACACAAACTTAAATAAAAAGCCTTACAGTTTACAAAGACCTAAATGCTTGTAGCTTTTGATCTCTCACAACTCTGTAAGGTAAAGGGTATCCATTCTATTCCTCTTTTAATATGTAAAATCCGAAGTGAAGAGCTATGGTTAAGGTTACGACAGCTGGAAGTACTTGGACCAGAACCCAGATATCCTAACTCCTAAATCAGTGCTCCCTGCTCCACAACTGAAACACTGGAAAAGCGCCTAAAACACTCTAGGTCTCATTTTGTTTATTACTGCTTTTAAGTGAGATGCTCACTACTTTCATCTTCTCAAAAGTACGCTGCTCCAAGGCAAGGATTTCTTGCAGAACCTTTCAAAGCGTGGAGGTCTTTACCAGCATTTCAGGAGTGGAGTACCGAGCACCTGACCTAGGAGTCAGGATATTCGCATCCTGGCCCAGGTCCTTAGGTTTAGAACCTTTAATTCTCACTCCACACCTGAAATGCCTGTGAAAAGGCCTCTGGATGGTGGGGTACTGATGACGTTCAAAGACACCCAGAGAAAAGCTCCTTGTCTTCGTATCACCAGAGCATGCTCCGGCTAACTTTTCCTCCTTTTTCCGAAGACCAGGTAGAATTCTGCATGTGCGGTAGACAGGACGCATCAGCCTGCCCGTTGTACACTGAAAAAACACCACCACCACAGCTCAGGGAGTTCACGCGCCCACGTGTCACGGAGGGACACCGAAGGGCCAAAACGAAGTCACAATCTGGCTCCACGTTCTCTCCAACACATCGTTCGACTTCTTTCGACCTTCCTGCCTTCCTCTCTTGCTTCTGTCGCTGCCTAAGCCTCAGCGGTGCCACTGGCACCCCAGCTGCTACGAATGGCCGGCAGGCTGGGAAGGGGCTGCTTACATCGTAAATGACAGAAATACAGAGGTGGGAGAAAACTGGACCGCAGCGTTCCGTTTTGGAAACACCTTTCGACTTTGCAGAAAACAACTAGTATAACTAAAGTTTAGTTATCATGACAAACTAGGTCTCCAAAAGACAGCTTTAAATAAAACAGTCCGTGAACAAGCATCTAAATCACAGCCTGTAGCTGGCTGGACCCCGTGGTTCCCCGAACTCCACACACACGGTTCTCTCAGCTGCTGCCCATGTAAACGCGGGGCTAGGAAGAGGCTCTCCAACTGCGAAATGTCCCCTTTCCAACCCAAAAGTTTGCTCAGTAAACCGCCGGCCTAAGAGACAATGCTCCCAAGAAGTTGTTACCGTGTCCGCGCAGAGAGCGGCAGCCCCGGCCGCCCCAGGGCTGGTAACCGCGCTCGCCCCTCGGGAGGAGGCGCTCCCGAAGAACAACAGGCCCGGAGCTCCGCGCCCCGGACCCCGCGGCCGCAGCCCTTACCTCGGCGAGGAGGGCCGCCCCACGCGACCCGACGCCGCCTCCCTGCTCCTCCGCCTCGGCCAGCCACTCACGCCCGCGTGGCTGCCGCTTCCTGCTCCTGGTCAGCGCCCCGCCTGGCCGAACACACACCCAGAGCTGCCCCCGCCAGGCCGGGGTCTCGGGACTAGCAGCCGAGGAGTCAAAGGCTCGACCGGAGCCCCGCCCTCCACTTCCTGATCAGGTTGCTAAAGGCTCAATCCCGGCAACCACCGCGGCGCCTCCGCCGCCTAGAACGCGCGTGCGTCATCACGTGCTCCGCCAGGGCTACTAGGGGAGGATAATCAGCCAGCTGGAGCGTTCTGGGTCTCCATGACAACGGGAGGATGGCTGGGCCGGGGGATTGTGGAGAAAGAGATTCAGGTGTGAGACGAGTAGCAGCTTCCCAGATGGGAAAATCTTTCCGTTGCAGAAATGTAAAGCTACCAGATCCTCCTCCAGCTGCTGTGGAATCTGTTTAACGCACGTGGCGACGCGATTTTTCAAGTTTATTGTTTACCAGGTGTTTTGTGACTTTACATCAAATGCCAGTTACCAGCATTTAAACTTCAAAGACGTTGTTCCAGCTCCCTCTGTTGTATATGAGGAAACAAGAGGCCCAGGGAAGCAAAGGCAAATACTGGAGTGAAGCTGTTTCTGAATTCCCAACCACCACACACGTGAACACTGTCCACCACATCTGTGAACTCTCTCACAAAAGGATTTCGAATTCAGAAGCAACAAAGTGGTAGAAATAAAGCGATGAGAAGGATTGATTGGCCTTGGCCACAGCCTGCAATGTATTGGAGTGTGTCTGAGTTCTGTGGCTCTTTCCCTCACTCACAACCCAGAGCAACACTTAGCCAGTGCTCAAATATTCTGTAGCTGTCTTTTAACTACTTAGTACTGGTTAGTCCTCAAGTTATTTAACCTGTATTGGTTTTCTCATTCGGAATAATTGTATTATCACAATAATTGTATTACCACAATTGCATTAGACTGTTGTGAAAATGAAATGAGATAATACATACATTTTTACTCAAAATTTGGAAAGAAAACCAAAAGATTGTGTGGTTTTTTTTTTAATTGGTTTCATTCCAGAAGATTTTTGTAATAAACCCACTTGATGTTCATCTGACACCCTCAGGAAATGTAACTTTGAATAACAGTTTAGGAGGGCCCAGAAGTTTTACAATCCAGTAAAGGCAGAGATTCACTGGTAAAAACCTGATGAGGTGTAATGGGGAGAAGGAGCAGACATCAAGTACAAAAAAATAATCTTAAAGGTTAAAGTCAAGAAACATGAGCCAGTATTGTATCAATTTTTATTTCATCGTTCCTTTCTCCAGTGATTATATAACTTCCAGTTTCTCATACCCTTGTGGAATCAGTTCTAGCATTCTGCTGACTACCTTATCAATAAGTGAGAGACTTAA